CGTGCCAACCTCAAAATAGCATCTCTCCAGAAACAGGATACCTAAATCCTTTTCTCGCTGAGGCACCAGGCCTTGCAAAGAGATCCAGATGCCAGTTATGTCCCTTCATCAACACAGATTACACTATCACTGGACCAAATAACATGGACTATGACATAAGATTTCATATACAGCATTACCTGCTCAATGTCCCTCTGCTGTCTGTGTTGGATAGAGCAATTCCTACATGATGGAATGAGTGGATACTGAGCTGACATCAAGTCTAGAATGACACAATCTTGTGGCAAAACATTTCAGACACCCTGGACATTTCATTGCTGATCTTAAGAGTAGCTGCTCTTAAACAATGGAATTTTAGAAATCAACTTTGAATGTGAAATGGCAGAAGAAGAAATCATTCACAGGGTAGATTGGGTGAAGTTATGATCTGAACAGGGACTATGGATTCTTATTCCATTACCTGGATTTGCTTTTATGTCCCTATGTGTTTATTGCCTTATTGTTCTTATCAATCCCCTCTGCCTCTTTTCATAGGGCTCCCATTCCTCCCTTTTCTCTGCATCTGTTTTTTGTATTTCAATCACTACTTCTGTTTGATAGCCTGCTTTGTGCATGTCCTTTCATAGAATCTGATCATGTGAGCTGTGGCTCTCAAAAGCTTATGCATCCCTGGTTCAGTTGGTGCACCTCTACCTTGCTTTATTCCTTTCTATTGGGTACCCCTATTCTTTGCAAGTTAATTCACTGCATCTGACAAAGTACACTGTAGCGTATGAAAGTATATGCCTCTTTGAACAAGTTGGACTATAAGATGCCACACTGTTCTGCCTTCTTTAATGATTAAAATCCTTCTAACTTCTAGGCTTGTTAGTAGCAAGTTTGATCTTTCAATCATTTAGGCAATTTAAATAAATAGATTTTATCATGTGTATTTAAATGGACTAAACCTTCAGATCCAGTGTATGGACCTCTGCTACTTGAGTGAATGATTTAATTCAGGGGCTTTTAACCTTTTTGCATCATTGTAGCCCCTGGCAGCCAGACACGGAGCAGTGTAACCCTGGCCACTGGGTGGGGGTGGGGAGGGTGGTGCGCTGTTGGTCGCTGAGTCGGAGCAGCGGGGTACTTGGCGAGCAGCTGGACATGGACTGGTGGCAGCCGCCGTATTTGCTGACAGTAGATTAGTGTTAAGACTGAATAATCCTGAAATGTATTTCAGTTTCTGTTTTGAGGGGAGTTAAGGGAGTTGCACATTCTACTGCTCTTTCTGGTCTAAACCCAACTTGTTCTGTCCATGATCTCTCCAGTTAATCCCACCCACTCTCCTTATCCTAATTCCACTCTCTTTGGCTCCTTTTTTCTGTTTTGGGCATCTTACCTAGCCAGTCTCAGGCTTCAATGCCTAGGCTCTTCATACTTGTTTCATCCTTGGTTCCTTTGACCTAGTTCCAGTCTCCACACATACTTGCTATCTTCTTATCTGTTTAGCACGCTCATGCCAGATGAATCTTGGGAAAATTTAGCTGGAAAACTCTTTTAAAAATATCTATGGAGCATGTGCAACATGGCATTTTTTCAGAGATTTATGACTTGGCCAAATTGGGTTAGTTTTTCATAAGAAAAGTCAAGAGCGTGTCCTGGCTGTTGTTGCAACCTCTATCCAAATTTTGGATCTCTGTTCCACAGCATTGAATGCTAAAGCATCTTAGTGAAAAGACTTTATGAATTCTTGTGAATTCTTTTCTTAATTTTTTCCTTCCCAGAGATGGCATGAACCATCTGTGCTGAAAAAATTGTGTGCGTGAAAAAGTGAGCCTGAACTATATACCTGCCCCAGGTCATGTCAGTGCGAATGACAAGTTTAGGAGCAACCTAATCCTAATCCCTGTAAGGCCTGGGGCCTTACAGTGAGAACTATGGAGCAACCTAATTATAACCATTTGTTGCTTTTTTATTATTACAAAAGATAACAAAAGAGATTGTCAGAGAGCTTTTGTTGGGTCTGAATGAATTCACATCATCAGGGCTGGATGAACTTCATCTCAGTGTCCTAAAGGAACTGGCAGAGGAGATCTCAGAGCCCTCTTCATGAAGCTGTAGGAGACAGGCCAGGTTTCAGAGGACTGGTAAAGGGCCAGTGTAGTGCCCCTCTTTAAAAACGGCAAGAAAGAGGACTCGGGGAGTTATAGACTGGTTAACTTCACCTCAGTACTTGAGAAGTTGCTGGAGCATATCCTGAGGAGGGCCATTTCAGGCACCTGGAGGAAGAAGGGCTGATCACAGGCAGCCAATGCAGATTCATGAAAAATAAATAGTGTCAAACAAAAACCTGATCTTCTTAGGTAAAGTAACTACTTGGGTGGATTAAGGGAATGCTGTAGATATAGTGTATCTAGACTTTAGCAAGGCTTTTGACAAGGTACCACACAACCTTCTCATAAACAAATTGGTGAAATGTGGGCTAGATAAAACTACTATAAGGTGGCCTCAAGCAAAGGGTAATTATTAATGGGTCCATGTCAGAATGGCAGAAGGTTTCAAGTGAAATCCCAGAGGGGTCTGCCCTTGGCCTGATGCTGTTTCAAGTGTGTGTTAATATTTAGATACTCACAGAGAAAGCTTCTTGATCAAGTTTGTAGACAACACAAAATTGGGAAGGATAGGCGTGACCCTCTACCTGGGACCTCTTGAGTGTATATTGACAACATTTTCTAGAAGCAGGATATGGGCTGCTGTGGTTCCCCCGCTGTACCTGTGGCAGGTTAGGGTGTTAGGTCTGTGTTGTGTCAGGGTTGATGGCAGTCTTTATGTAGAATTTAAATTATGGTTTGTATGGTGTGGTTTGGATAGGGGTGATATTTGTACTTTTTAGCCCCTACAAGTTCCAGTCTTGGATCAGGATCCCATTGTTCCGAACAGAAAAGTCATTTCCCACCCCAAAAAGCTTACAACATAGATGTTAATAAGAAAGGGGGCAGTACATGAAAATGATTAGGTAAACTCAGTCAGTCCATTAGGCAGTGGAAGAGTCTGGCTGTTCAACTGCTGGGAAATGTTTTTTGGAGGCATCACAGCAAAGCAAAGGTACAAGGAGGAATTTGAAGGAGAATAATAAAATGGCTTTGTCCATGTTTATTTGGACTATTTCTTAGCCATTGGGGCAATATGGGAGAAAGCATGATGATCCTCTGGAGAATGAAGTAGGCTATTGAGGCTGGCATCAAAGGCTTGATTAGAAATTATTCTGAATAGTGGACAAAAGACAGAGTGAGAATATGCTACAAAGACGAGTAGCTTATGTCTGATATGAAAAAAGAGAAAACAGAGGGATGCAAAGAGGGTAAATGGGCCAAAGTAATGGGTTGGAGAGTGTGGGTTTTTATTTCGTCCTTCACAGCATGCTGAATGTTTGTTGGTAGATTCTTCTACCAACTCCATCTACAATCCATCAGAACATCTCTATATGCCACTTCATAGAAGATAATGCACTTCTATGAATTAGTGGCAATGCAAATGAAATCTCTGTTTGAATCTCTTTTTATGTGCAGGAAATGTTGATGGCTTAATTGGAGGGATTCTTAACCTTAGGTGTGATGCTCTCAAACATATTCAGATCTACCCAATTTTTCAGTTTTCTCTGAGAGACTGAGAACTCTGAAGTTTAACATGGGATATCAGGGTCTTTTGCATGATGATTTGAAAAATGGATTTCTGCATCCTCAGTGCAGACAACAAAAAATGCCACTTCTTTTTTATGGCGCTCAGCTTGCCTGATATCCGCAGTCAAAGTTTTCCAAGTGACCATATTTTATGCAGCATCCACTGCATAAATAAGTAGCCTTTAGTTTTATGTTTTATGAGTAGGAGTCTATATCAGTTTAGGAGCTTTTGAAATTAATCAGTTTAACATACATGATGGTAATGATGATGAATTTATTAACAATGTAAAGTACTGTGTGTGCATTTAGCATAAGGTTCTGATTTCTTTTTTCTGTTTTCTCCTTTGCAGTTCATTGCGTTTGCCTCTTTATTCTTCATCCTAGTTTCAATCACAACCTTTTGCCTGGAAACCCATGAGGCTTTCAATACCATTATAAACAAAACTGAGCAAGTCATCAACAGCACAGAAACAGTTCTACAGTATGAAATTGAGACGGATCCTGCTCTGACCTACGTAGAAGGAGTTTGTGTGGTGTGGTTTACATTTGAATTTTTAGTTCGTGTCATTTTTTCACCCAATAAACTTGAATTCATCAAGAACCTCTTGAATATCATTGACTTTGTGGCCATCTTGCCCTTTTACCTAGAGGTGGGCCTGAGTGGGCTCTCTTCCAAAGCTGCTAAGGATGTGCTTGGTTTCCTTAGGGTGGTGAGGTTTGTGAGAATCCTGCGAATCTTCAAGCTCACCCGACATTTTGTTGGCCTCAGGGTGCTGGGCCACACACTTAGAGCTAGCACCAATGAGTTTTTGCTGCTGATAATATTCCTGGCACTAGGTGTCTTGATATTTGCCACCATGATCTACTATGCTGAGCGAGTAGGAGCCCAACCCAATGACCCATCGGCCAGTGAGCACACACAGTTCAAAAATATCCCCATTGGCTTCTGGTGGGCTGTGGTCACCATGACCACCCTTGGGTACGGGGACATGTGTCCTCGGACTTGGTCAGGCATGCTAGTGGGTGCTCTGTGTGCTTTGGCTGGGGTACTGACCATAGCCATGCCTGTGCCTGTCATTGTTAACAATTTTGGAATGTACTACTCCCTGGCAATGGCAAAACAGAAACTGCCAAGAAAGCGGAAGAAGCACATCCCTCCTGCTCCTCAAGCGAGCTCTCCTACATTTTGCAAGACAGACTTGAATATGGCCTGCAATAGCATGCAGAGTGATGTCTGTCTGGGCAAAGAAAACCGGCTGATGGAACACAACAGATCAGGTAGGACATAATTTGAAATGCATGATCTTTAAATACTTTATAGACCAGTATGTTTGGTAGGTTTCAGAAAGCATTAAATCTTTCTGCAACTAGAAGATGTAGTTTCCACCCTTTCCTCCTCACTCCAGTGTTTGTGTGTGTCAGTCTTGTAGATGGTAAAGTAGTTACAATGGCATTTTCAGATCTGTGCATAGCTGGTCTATCTAGTTTGCTTGCAATGTTGTGAATGGTATGTTGTAAATTTAAGCTGATGGTATCAACCAATTTTTTGCCTGTTGTTTGTTGCCTTGTACTGATGTTTTTTGTTTTCCTGCATGATTGTAATTATAGGAAAAGTCATGACATTCTACACTGTTGAACTCCATGCTGTTTTGCTGGGTGTTTGTCTTTTGTGTCAGCTTTGCCTACACCAAATGGTGGCATGTTATTTAAGATACAGTACAAGAAACAAATATAACAAAGAAGCAGATGTTTTATCATTGAAACACCAGCACTCAAAGGAAGTAGCATGGGAAGCTGATCTCTAGACTTTAGATTTTTTTTCCAAAGTAAAATAATGAAGTAATTTTTTAAAGAAAAGATAAAAAAAAAAAGTAGTAAACAGCAACAACTTGTAATAGCATTGTCACTATTCATTATTTTCTTTCTCGCAATGCCTAGAAGCCCTTGCCATAAATCAGGAGGCCAGTGTACTAGGCACTGTACAGATACTTAATAAAAAGATGGTTCTGACCTCAGTGGCTTCCTGACATATTCAAAATATCTCTTGAGATAAATGAGAAAAAATAATTCGTTTCTAATGTAATAAGTATTGTTGTGCAATCACAAGAGGGCTCTCCCCCAAATCTGTTAATTGTTATGGTAAATACTATTGGATTTCAAAACTCCCACATCAATCATTAGGTTCACTTTATATTGTCAACATATAATAATGACAAAACATGACTAATATTTTTATTAGCTGGAATTTGCTCTTTAGAGGACAGGAGCTAGAAAGCTTGACTTTGAAAAGTACCTTTGTTCTATTCTCTTGCTGTATTACTACATTTGGGTTCAAAGAAAATGAATTTCAGGTTCTGAGAGACTTCTTCAGCAGAGTAAACAGAGAATACTTTCGGAAAGTCTAAAGATACCAAAGGGGGAAGGGAGAATCTGCATGCAGTGGGTAGAATATAGTTAGCTTTGCAGTGTTTGACTGATGCACACTTTCAGGCAGGATCATCAAAGTGTTAATGATAACAGCTTTTCTATTGCATCAAGTCCTGCTAGAGGTATTCCATAACAGAAGAGGCTCTGTGTGACCAGAGCAGAAAGACAGTTACAGTGAATCTGCAGATTTATTTACAAGGTGCTGTCATCCTTGAGGTTAGAGACGTACGCAAAAATGAATAAACTTAGCGATTATTTTTCCCTTTTTTTTCCCTCTCTGATTGTGCCACTATTTCTGCTTCATGTTCTAACACAACGTGCGGACTGAAGACACAGTGTAACTTACATTGGTTATGTACACTAATACAAGTTATGCCAGTGTCCAGAGCAAACTGATCACCAGCTCTGGAGGTAGCTGCCCTCAGTAGGTACCACTAACAGCACCTCAACACTGGGTGGCAAGGAGAGCCAGTTAGGGCCTGTTTGAACAGAGCAAAACAGCTACCCAGGGATGAAATGGACTAGAGCTGTGAACACGTGACTTGTAATTTGGTGTAATTTACACCAGTGTATAATTAATTCTGACTTTCTGAAGAGTTACTTTACTTGGAGAACAGTAACTCGCAGAGATGTAGAGCTGCATGTTTCATAGATTTCATAGACATTAGGGCTGGAAGGGACCTCAGAAGATCATCGAGTCCAGCCCCCTGTTTGTCCACTCTACTTTTATACAGCATACAGAGATTACCAGGGATCCTGGTTTTCCTGATAAAAAAAAAAAAAAAAAAATCACAAATTCTCTAATAAAAAATTGAAAATTCTGATTTAAAACCCCACAAATATGTGATTAAAATGAAAAGCACACCCATAGCTCCCCAGCCCTGCCCCGCACCCCCTCCCACAATCCCCCCCAGCCCTACTGCAGCGGGCCGTCAGCTGCCAGGACTATAGGGGCAGAGAACTGGGTCTGCAGCCCCCTGCCCCTGGCAGGAGGTGGCGACTGCTTCAGTGGAGCGGAGCCTGGCTCCCCTCCGTGTGCTGCCTGACTGCTATGGGCTTGGAGGGAGTGGGGGCTGCTTCCTGCCATGGCATGCACTCCCAGGGGAGTGTCCCCCACATGTGTGCATGGGGCAGGGGCTGTACGCTGTGGACTCCCACCCTGCTGCCCTCCCCCAGGGCCACTGCAGCCCAGTGTGTATGACCCAGTGATGAATGGGACAGTGGAGCTGCATAGGAAGCCGCCTACCACTGCGAGCTCCACACTGCCTTGGTGAGGCATCCCCTATTTCCGCAGCTGCAGCCGGGGTGGCAGTGTGGAGTTGTGTGCAGTGTATGTGGGCAGCACAAAGTTTGCAGCAGCAGGCAGCTTCTTGCGTGGCTCTGCTGGACTGTGGAGGCCCAGGGGGAGGGCAGTAAGGCAGGGAGCATGAGCCGGAAGCATGCAGCCCCTGATCTGTGCACAGGTCTAGGGGGGCAGCCCCCAAGAGTGCACGCAGCAGCGGGGAGTAGCCCCCCTCCCCTCCTCCTCAGTGGGCAGGCTGCCCCACCCCACACTCAGACCTGAGGGTCATGGGTTCCCCACAGCCCCCCCTGGGAATACATGCAGCAGTGGGGACCTGGCCCTACCCCACCCTGACAACCCTCCCACAGCCCCCTCCTGCTTCCTGCTGGGGCCTAAGCCCCAGCCCTGCTCAACTCCCCCTCTCCCTCCCTATGGAAGCTTCAATTCCCACCTCCCTGTCTCCCACTTACCTGCCCGTGCTGCTCTCCAGGCTGCTTGGGGCCACATGCATATACATGCATATGGTGCACCCTGCCTTACTGCCCTCCTCCCACCCCCCCGGCCCCCCGCAGGCTGGAACTGTCAGCCTGCTGAGGGCTTGTCATAAAACGACAAATTCCGTGGGTTTCTCTGGTAAAATGAGAAATCTGCGTTTTCTTCCAGTAAAAGGTAAAATCCGCAGTTTACTCCATTTTTCCATGGGAAACGGAAAACCTGGATCCCTGGAGATTAGTCAAAATGTCACATGTCCACAGCCTGAATTTCTTTTTTATAATTCTATTAAAGTTGTCATTTCAGAATTAATTTGCACCCCTAGTTCAGGGAAGAGTGTTTTAAACTTTAAACACAGAGTAAGGCTTGTTAAAGTTTTAATAGAATTTAAGCACATGTTTAAAATGTAAGTGCTTCCATGAATATTTATGCTTTTTAAATTGTGGCCAGTGTTTTAAAATACTATATAGCTGCTGCTAAAGAAAAGTATCTTTGGGAAACTGAGAAAGGTAGAAGTAGAGGTAGGGATTTTGCTATTTTCAAAATGTTATCTCAGTGAATAAAAACTGCATTTAACCTTCGGGTATGTATGTTTACAGACCCATATAACTAACTCCCTTAGAACTGTATGTTTTGAGATGGGTTTATCCTTTCTACAGCAACCTTTTTAAATAAAACACAATGCATTTTGCATCAAAATGATCAACATAACTTCATTTTTTAATACAGGACATTGGCAAGGAGATGAACGCAGTGTTGAAGCAATGGAGACAAACTGTAGTCATAAAGGTTGTAACAGTCATTGAAGGCACAAATAGAATAGTCTTTTATCATACTATATTTTATTACATATTCAGCCAGTAGAACACGAGGTGAGATTTGAAGTGGGGTCAGGATAGCCGAAAGATCATTTGCTCCTGAATAAAACATTTTTACTCATTTTTCCCATTTTGCTGCATTTTGTAGTGACTAATGATGAACTGCAGGTTTTTTTGTTCTTATTGTGAACTTATTACTGTTTTTTGTACTTGAGCTATGGAAATTACCGGCATCCAACATAAGCTCTTTGTGATGTCTCATTTCCTCATTCGTTATTGTCTGTAAATGGGCATGGTGCTTTAACCAGTGTTATCAGGTGAAGACAGTGCAGGAAGTGAGCAGCCACTCTCACCTGGTGAAAGGCACCCACCAATCAGACGCTCTAGTACCAGAGACAAAAACAGAAGAGGGGGAACATGTTTCCTACTGACAACAGGTGATTACACGTGTGCTACTGATGGAGGGATCAGGAAAGGTATGGACTTCTTTCATTAGATCATAAAAGGTTACTCAGGAATGTGCTTGTGAGAAACAAACTTAGAACAAAGTAATGTGCACAAATGCTCCGTAGGAACGATTGTGGTTGGTTCAATGCATGTTTTTCTTTACTTTTGTTCATCCTTTTCTTTTCTTGCCTTTTCTTTTAGAAGACATTCCTTAACTTGCCCACTCCCCTTAAAAAAAACAAAAAAAAAAACTCGATGTTATACAGCCATTATACTTGTGTCTTCATTTGTCCATACTTTACAGAAAAAGCAGTCATTTTAGACCTTTCTCATTAAATCACTCATCTGCTGCTTTAAATATTCCCTTTGGCATTCCTAAAAGACAAATTAATTATTCAGTAACTAAAATTTGCATTTAACAACTTTTAAAAAAAGATAGCTAAATTAATGACATTGAAGGATTGAAAAATTGAATAAGCCCAAACCATAACAAAACTTATCATAGAAATATTTTTGAAGGCATTTGAAAGAAAACCAAGTTTATGATGTTTAAAGACAGCTTATCATGACAACAATATCACTAAGGGCATGAAGATTATACCAAAACAGATTGGTCTCTTCTAGCCAGGGGTCAGGTGTGATACAGTTAGGGTCTGATCCTGCAAGGTGCCAGATGCTTTCTATAAGAAAGTACTGAGTGTCCTTATATCTGATTGCTCAGCATTTTGTAGAATCAGGCACTTGCTCTTACACTCGCTTATTGGCTTCAAAGGGAACCAAATTAGGCCAGTGCTGATCACTGTTAAAAATATCTTATATATAGAATATTCCAAATGTAATTGATGTCAATGAGATTCTTTCCATTCCCTTCTATAGGAATTAGATTGCATTCTTAATGAATTGTCTATCTATGGTGGTTGTCAGTGACTGTTTAAAATAAATTCCTGAACAGTTATGCATTAATGCTATTTGAATGTATCATCTCTATGCCCACAACTGGAGCTGGTCAATAGCTTTGTTCACCAGCTTTGTCTATAGCAAACATGATTGTTGCAACTTCTTGTTTCAGCTGGCTAACAGAAGAAGAAAAGAACTTGGTGTTAACTTATGCTAGATGCAGTACCGCATTTCTTTAAAAAATAAGCAGCTGAGATCATTATGCAAAATGTGAATGCATATGAACAGAAATGTAGCCACGAACGACTATAGATTTAGAAGAATATGATTTTCTATAGACTTACACATGGTGGCTACAGTGCAATGATATCAGATGGAAATGTGGGTACTTAATTTGTGCATGTGTTTTTGCATATAGACTTTAGACCACTAAGAATTATACCCTATAAAATCTATTAGACATTTAACATTCTTCAAAATGTAATAGGGAACTTCTACAAAATGCTGATTACCAGCATCTTGTAGGATCAGGATCTTTAACCTCTACTAGACATTTCAACACATTAGAGAATTACTAGTACATTTGTATTAACCATAACTAGGAGAATTGGAAACTCCACCCTTCCCTCCCCAATTAATATCCCATTAAAACATTCATTCAAAAATTTTAGGCTGAAAAATTAACTGTAAAGACAAAAAATATAGTTTAGCATTGTTTTGTAAGTGAGAAATTGAAATGAAACACATTTTATATTGCAGGTAAACAAGAACTTTCATTTCAGTGTGTAAATTCAAAATGAAAAAAAATTGTCATAATTTCCTTCAAAGAAACTTAGTTCTATTTAAAGAAATGACTCTGGTTTCTATGTACTTACGTATTTTTGGGCAGAAGCTTTCTTACTGCAAAATTTGACTGCCCCCAACTAGAATCTTATATATGTATCAAACACTTTAGCCAATGGCCTTGAAGTTTATTCAATGGAGAATAAAGTTATCAGCTCTTACACTGAAAGCACCTTCAGGATATCACCAAATTATTTGGAATATTTTATTCTAATTAATACATCAAGTCTACTTTTGTATTATGATATAATATTTCTTGTTGTCTCCTTTCTGTTTATGCTTTTGTTTGTATGTCTAACAATATTTTTCACAGTTGATTCTTTTCTTTTATAGTTTGTTTTTTTGTTTTGATTTTTTTTTTTATCGACTCTGTGATCTTTTAAGGCTTGATTCAAAGCCCATTGAATTCCCTGGAAAGATTCTTACTGGTTTTACTTTGGATTTTGGATCAAACCTTCCATCTCTATTTATCCTGTGTGATAGTTTTTACACTTTAAGAGATCTCTTTTTCGTTAATTGCAGTAGTGTCTTGCTTTCCTATATGTATTGGCTCTCCTTTGCTTTTGTTCTTAAAAAAAAAAAAAAAAAAAAAAAAAAAAAAAAAAAAAAAAAAAAA